TAGCTTAGAGCTGAGCGGCGGCAGGCGGGGAACCTTGGCTTCCTCCATCACTGGAGCAAGGAAGCCTCCTGCTCACTTCAGCTGCGTGGCTGCCAGCCGCCATCTTTGTTGACAGTTAATTTGCATATCTCACTGATTAGCCAATGGGAAGCATAGTGGAGATAGGTTAATTACCCTTTTTGTCTTTTATTAGATAGGATAGATACTTACTTATTGCCATTTTAATTCTGTCTGCCTAGGTTTCTCTATTTCTTCTCATCACAGCTGTCCCTTTAGCATTTTGTGTAATGCTGGGTTGGTGGTGATGTACTCCTTTAGTCTTTTTTTTGGTCTTGGAAGCTCTTTATTGGACCATCTATTTTTAATGATAGCCTTGCTGGATATAGTAAACTTGGTCTCAGATCCTTGCTTTCCATTATCTTGAGTACTTTCATGCCATTCCCTTCTGGCCTGTAGAGTTTCTGATGAGAAATCAGGTGTCAGCCTTATGGAAGCTCCTTTGTAAGTAATAGTTTGCCTTTTCTCTTGGTGCCTTTAAGATTCTTTGTCTTTAATTTTTGGCATTTTAATTATGATATGTCTGGGTGTGGGTCTGTTTGGGTTCTTCTTACTTTTAACTCTCTGTGCCTCCTAAACTTGTGTGACTTTTCCCTTTCCAGGTTCGGGAAGTTTTCTACACTTCTTCAAACACATTCTCTATTCCTTTCTCCCTTTTTGCCTCTTCTGACACACATGTTATGTGAATATTGTTAAGTTTCATGTTGTCCCTCAGGTCCCTTAAGCTGTCCTCCTGTTCTTTTTTTTAAAAAAAAATATATTTTATTGGGTTTTTTTCCTCCTGTTCTTTTAATTGTTTTTTTCTTTTTGGTTCTCTGATTGAGTGATTTTTTCAACCCTTTCTTCTAATTCACTGATTTGATCCTCAGCTTCCCCTAATCTGCTGTGTATTCCTTCCAATGTGTGTGTGTTTTTTTTAAGTTTTATAAGTTTGTTTTTAGAAGTGAAAATTTATTTTTTTCAAGAAAAAATATTTTAAATATAAAAACCAATGTGGCCCTAACTGGTTTGGCTCATTGGATAGAGCGTCAGCCTGCGGACTGAAAGGTCCCAGGTTCAATTCCGGTCAAGGGCATGTACCTTGGTTGCGGACACATGCGCAGTAGGGGTTGTGCAGGAGGCAGCTGATCGATGTTTCTCTCTCACCGATGTTTCTAACTATCCCTCTCCCTTCCTCTCTGTAAAAAATCAATAAAATATATATTTAAAACAAAAACAAACAAAAAAAACCCCAATGTTTTCTCTATTTGTGCTATGTCATTCTTTATTTCTGTTTTTATAGTTACTATATCTTTTCTCATGCTGTTGAGCATCTTTACCATCATTATTCTGAACTCTATATCAAATAAATTTCTTATCTCCATTTCATTTATCTCTTTGGAGAATTCTCTTGTTCTTTCATTTGTGGGTTGTTTCTTTGTCTCCTCATTTTGGCTGCCTGTTTGGGTTTGTGACTCTGTATTAGGTAGATCTGCTGCCCCTCTCATTCTCTAGTGCAGGACAGTGTCAAACACTGTTTCTAGCTAATTAGATCAGGCAAAGACTCAATGCTTCCAGAGACCCCTCTGCCTACAGCCTGATAGGATTCTGTCTTGAATAGCCTTCAGGCAATTGTCCACAGGTGTGGTGAGAGTTTTTTCAAGGGTGGGGCAATTGCTTCTTGCCTGGAGGCTAATTGTTATTCTCAGTCTCTTAATGGGCCTCAGAAACAGCCTGGGGCAAGGTGTTTTCCAATAGGGTTGTTCAGCTGTCTTCCCCCCAGGCAACGCTGCCTGTATAGCAAATGTCTGCGAGAGTTTCCTTAAAAAAAAAAAACGATTTTAAGAGAGAGAAGAGGAGAGGGAGAGAGAAACATCAATAAGAGGGAAACATTTATCAGCTGCCTCCTGCACGCCTCCTTCCAGGGATGGAGCCCATAACCTGGGAATGTGCCCTGACTGTGAATCAAACCGGCAACCTTTTGGTGCATGGGATGATGCTCAACCTACCTAGCCACACTGGCCAGGGCCCTTTGCTGAAGAGACCATTCTTTCCTCATTGAGTGGTCTTGGCACCTTGTGAAAACCAGTTGATGGTAGATGTGTGGGTTTGTTTCTGGGCTCTTATTTATATTCCATCAACCTCTATATTGTATATGTCTGTCCTCATGCCAGTACCACACTGTTTTGTTAACTGTAGCTTGGTAGTAAGTTTTTAACTCATGAAGCATGAGGATATTTCCTTTTATAGATGAAAAAGCTGGAGCTCAGGGAGGAGACATGTTCGCAGGCAGGGCCTGTCCGTGCCCCAGTGGGAGGAGCTGAGGTGACAGGACGAATGCAGCTCGTTGGCCAGTAGTTCTCTTTTTCAAAGGGTGGGCTGTCGGGAATGATCAGCCGTACTTCCCATATCCCCCCAAACCCCCAAAACAGCAGATAAAGTGCTGCTCCTGACTGAGGTTAGCAGCCACATCCCTTCCAGACCTCACATGGCCCAAAGATTCCATGTGGGCAGTGGAGAAAAGCCCCTCATAGGACCTCTGGGGCCCACTTCTACTATACCCTCTCAACTCCTCTTCCCTTTGTAGTGGTTGGATTGCAGCCCTGTCTACGCTGAAGCAAGACTTGGCCGTGTCAATCATCATGATGGTGGTAGCTGGCTTCTTCACACTCTGTGCTGTGCTCTCACTCTTCCTTCTAAAGCGGGTGAGTGGTGGGTGCCGGGCCCACAGCTAACCTGAGGAAGCAGGCTCCTCTCTCCAGCCTTGCTACGGGGGTGTTCATCACTACAGCAGTTGGGACTGCTATGTCCCCAAACGTCCAGTGGCTTTCTCCAAGGCTCTGGTGGGAGGTCAGTCAGCATGGGTTCCTTGTGGGCCTACAGGACAGGCTTCTCTTACCACAGCCTTTTTCCCCAGGTGCACTCTCTGTACCGCCGGACTGGGGCCAGCTTCCAGCAAGCTCAAGAGGAATTTTCCCAGGGCATCTTCAGCAACAGGACCTTCCGCAGCGCTGCCTCATCTGCTGCCCGAGGAGCCTTCCAAGGGAATTAGTCCTGACTCTCTTCCCTGTGCCCCAGCCATTTTTCCTGCCTGCCTTCTGAGCTGCACTTTCCGTGGGTGCCTTAAGCAGTGCTATGGCCAGCACAAACCTGGAGAGGGTCTTGCTGTGGCTCTTCCTCCTTCCTCAGCAACCAGCTTTCCCTTCCACCCAAGGGAAGGGGAGGGAGGGACAGGAACTTTTTTCACATAAGAGAAAAGGGGGGAAAAAAGTTTTTCTTCTCTGGTGGTGGTTTGGTAGGATTCTTTTGTCCCTCTGAAGCAGTGGGACTGAGGTTCTCTTTTCCCTCCACACACACACATATGCACATATGTACACACTTGGGATCACTGGCCAACCTGGGCCTACCCAGCTGGCGTTGTATTTCTGCCAGGGGCCTGGGCCTCCGCTCATCCCCTAGAAACCTGGCCTGAATCTGGCTTCACAGCCCCAGCCTGTGGCTTCCATAGTCCTGCCCTCCCTTCCTGCTGGGCTGGGATGACCTACCAAGGGCTCCCCTTTATATGAGCTATGGCCTGGGCTGGTGGACAGCTCTGTTCCCCCAGATCACTCTGATTAGGTCTCTGGGCTTCCAGAACTTCTGGCCGGTTCCTCAGCCTCTTCTCTGCTTCATATTTCTCACAAACAGATTCATAGCCCTATCGGCCACCTGCACCTTCCAGCTGTGGGCAGCACCCTGTGCCATCTGGGGCCCTCCCTGGGCCCTCCCCTCCTTAGACTTACTGAATGTGCATTGGGGTTGGTTGGGATTTGGGGATGGGCAGGAACAGAGGACAACCTGTGTTGTCCTGCCCAGCCTTTAACAATCTTCTAGGAGGAGTTTGTGTGACTGTCCCGGTGTGGGTTGTTTGTCCATTTGTTTTGATTTCCTCTTCTCCTGGGGGACAGCTGTGCTCTGCCTTGGCCTCACATTCTAACCGTTTGTTCCCTCATCAGCAATATCTAGCTTGTATGACTCTTAGGAAGGGCAGGTAGAATCAGTTCAGAACTGAATCCTTCAGACTGGTCTCATGAGCCAGAGTTCCAGACTCATCCTCCAGGGTTCTCCCATACCCCGAGTAGAAGTAGAGTCTAGGTCACTTTCCACTGGTCCTAGGGATTCCCCAGGCAGTGTGTCACTGTGATGAGCACCTAGGAGTCCACCATTAACACCTGCACCCTGCTCTGCTGTGGACTGAGGGAACTTCTCAAAAAGCAGACCAATCCAGAGGCAGCCCTGTCTATAGCCCACTCCACTCCAGAGCCACTGAATGATGATTTAATGACAGTGACCAAGGTTTTGTAAATTTCTGGTACTTTTTTTCTCCATGTACAAAGGTATATGTTGTTTCAATGTTGTGCTTAAATAAAGACATTTTCAGACAACACTGGTTCTAATGTCTGCTGGACTTGGATGGATGTGCATGGCCCCCAGTAGTAGTGGCTGAAGTGCTCTATCTGTGGGTGTGAGGGGTCAGTCAACATGCTGCCCTCCCCCTGTCTCTGGCTGGTCTGTGACAGGCTAAGCCTCTCACCCCTGGGGGAAAGTCCCTTCCTGAGATAAATATTGGCCTCTTCCATTATACTTTTTTTCTTTTTCTTTTTTAAGAAAATATTCTCACAGATTTTATTGATTTGAGAGAAACAGATTTGTTATTCCACTTAGGTGTTCATTGGTTGATTCTTGTACGTGCCCTGACTGGGGATGTCTGCAACCTTGGCACATGTCCCAGTAATTCCACTTTCAGAGCTGCTGGTCTTGGGAGGAGGGGCCTCTTTGAATCCCCTGCCCCCCTAACCCTTCTTGGTCCTCTCGTGGGCGATCTCTAACATCGTAACGGAGCCCAAATGGGATTCCTGATGACCTCGTGTGCGGGTCTCTAGTTCCTCCCTTTGGCCCGCGGGGGCCTCAGCATCACCACGTGGATCTTGCGGATCATGTGATTTCTAGTGCTGACGGCGGCCGAGGAGGGGCAGCACAGCCGAGCCGCGCAGAAAGCAGCGGGAGGAAGAGTCTCTAGGACGCGGGAGCCTGGCCCCGCCCCTCCGGGTGCACTTCCGGCGGCAGCGAGGAGTCGGGCAGTTGCCGCGCACCCTCTTCCGCTCTCCACGCTGGACTCCGGCCGGAACCCGCCCCGAGAAGCAGGAAGCGCCCGGTGGCTGGTGCCGGGTGGTCAGGATGGCGGGGTCCAGCTGGGGTCCCCCGCGGTTGGATGGCTTCATTCTCACCGAGCGCCTGGGCAGTGGCACGTACGCCACGGTCTACAAGGCCTACGCCAAGGTGGGGGCGAGGCGCAGCCGGAATCGGGCTTGAGAACCTCTGAGCGCCGGGCCGCGTGCCCGCCAGACCCTGAGCGAGCCCAGGCGGGTGGCAGGCTGGGAACCCAGGGAGGTTAGGGCCTGAGAGCAGTTAGGTACCACGGCCTGACTTGTCCAGATCGGGTGTTCGGTTGACGAGGTGGGAGCTGACTGCCCCCCATAGGTCTTAAAAACAAACACGTACACACAAACACATACCCACACCTGTGTTTTGTTTGGAGATGCAGGTGGAGACCTGGAGGGAGCCTCGTGTCAGTGTCTTAAAAATGGGCTTAAATGTATTCATTGGTTGATTCTTGTATGTGCCCTGACTGGGAGGACACCTGGTGGGCTGGGAGGAGTCTTGGACAGGGTTCTGGAAGGCTGGACCCACTTAGGAAGCAATCTGGGCAGTTCTAGAACATGGAATGAAGGACATGCCTTAGTGGGAGCACTCTAGAAGGGCTAATAGGACTAAGAGAGGGTTTAAGAACACCAGGCTGGGTGGGGAGGCCAGAATCCCATAATCGGGTTCTCATTAGCCTGAGAAGGGGAAGGTTGGATGCTGGTGTGAGTGGGTAAGCCCAGTGAGGGGAGAAGGGTAGAGGGAATCAGAGCCTTTCTGGCCAGGCATGGGCCCTGGCTTGCTCAAGGTAGAGCCCTCAAATCTCCTGCCTCCGTAGAAGGACACTCGAGAGGTGGTAGCCATAAAATGTGTGGCCAAGAAGAGCCTGAACAAGGCATCCGTGGAAAACCTCCTGACAGAGATTGAAATCCTCAAGGGCATTCGACACCCCCACATCGTCCAACTGAAAGACTTCCAGGTGCGGGCCTGTGGTTCAGCCAGCCGCGAAGGAGACTGGAGAAGAGACACTCCCTTCAGATTGCCTTTTTGCCTCTAACCACAGTGGGACAGTGACAACATCTACCTCATCATGGAGTTCTGTGCAGGAGGTGACCTGTCTCGCTTCATCCATACCCGCCGGATTCTGCCTGAGAAGGTGGCTCGTGTCTTCATGCAGCAGATGGGTAAGAACCTCTGACCCCAGACTTCCCATGGTCTCTGTCCTCCCTCTGCACCTGACCCAGGCTTGGAGCTGCTGCGCTCTTAGCAGTTGCCTCCTTTCCCAGCTCGGATTTATAGGCCCTGTCTTTGTCATGTGCCCATCCCTAGCTTAAGGCTGTTACTAGAGAAAGGTAGGTGCCTTAAGCTGTAAGAAGTCCAGATTTTCTACATGCAGAAGATAATAGAAAGACCTTGTAGGACACATCAGGGCCCACTGGGTTGTATCTAAGTGCTTTGCCAAAAGAAAGAGCAAAAGTTGAAAGGGCTGGGGCACCCAGGGAAGCTTCTAGGAGGAGAGGAGACTTGCAGAGTGGCCCGAGGGAGGAAAGATGGCACTGAGGATGGGAGTGGGGGGTTCTTAGAAGTGGCAGGAACCTGGTACTTTTATGTAAAGCATTCAGAAGGCCAGAACTGGGGTCATGCAGGCTTGAAGAAGCAGATGTAAGTCAGGGAAGGCAAGAGGCAGGTGGGAGATGGGTCCCTCTGACCTGTTTCTCTGCATGTGTCCTGTTGCCCAGCTAGTGCCCTGCAGTTTCTGCACGCACGAAACATATCTCACCTGGATCTGAAGCCACAGAACATTCTGCTGAGCTCCTTGGAGAAGCCCCACCTTAAACTGGCAGGTGTGCATCTGGAACAGCAGCGGAAAGCTGGGCCTGGGTCTCCACAACAGTCTGTGAGCTGTTCTGGGTCTTTAGGACTGAATGGAGCTTCAGGGTTTGGAGGGTGGGTGTGCACTCAGCAGCCCTGGTTCTTGTGGCGCCCTCTATCGAGTCATCAAACAGCAACAGGCTGGGAGATCCAGAAACAGGCCCCATCACTAAAAGGTAGGGCCTTTCTCAGCCATCCACACTGGATTCCAGCAATGTAATGCTTAGGATCAGGGCCAGGACTTGGTGGGTCACCAGAATTGAAGCTCAAGCTGTAACTCAACCTGCAGCAGTGTTGGAGGGAGTTAGGTGGGGGAGGGGTGGTTGTGGTCCCTGATAGGATTTGGAAAAGAATTTGCTTGAGGCTAGAGAGGGTATAACCTGCTTGATGGGACAGTGAGCCATTATCTTCATAGCTGATGTGAGCAGGGTGGGCTTCCTGGAAAAGTACCTGAGGGGGGCTGTGTGTGATGGGTAGGACTTATGCCCCCACTGAAAGATGCAGGAGGGTGTTGGAGGTTAATAGTGAGCTAAGACTGGGAAGTAGGATTGATCCTGGTGAATCTGGAAGGCAGGGAGGAGTCCTGTGCTGGAGCTCAGGGTAAGGCTTCAAAGGCCAAGAGCAGAGGCAGCTGGAATTTGAGCCCTGCTGCCTGGCCTCTTGCCTGCAGACTTCGGCTTCTCACAGCACATGTCCCCGTGGGATGAGAAGCATGTGCTCCGCGGCTCCCCTCTCTACATGGCCCCCGAGATGGTGTGTCGGCGGCAGTACGATGCCCGTGTGGACCTCTGGTCCGTGGGGGTCATTCTGTATGGTGAGAGCTCTGTCCCCTGCCCCCACCCTGTGAGGCCTGCACTGGGTGTCCTCAGGCATGCCCTCCCTGGCCACTCCTGAAGGGCTTTAATGAGAAGGCTGACTTTAATGTCCCTGAGCCCCTGCTCTGGGGGTTATCAGGCCCTCCCAGGAGGGGGCCAGGCCAGGCTGCACCCTGTTCCTCCCAGCTTGCCCTCTGCCTCCCTCCACAGAAGCCCTCTTCGGGCAGCCCCCCTTTGCCTCCAGGTCGTTCACAGAGCTGGAAGAGAAGATCCGGAGTAATCGGGTTATCGAGGTGGGTCCTGCAGGGCCTCAGCAACCTGTTTGGGACAGAGGGAAGCAGAGCCCTCAGGTTGGAGACCTCACTATCCCTGCACGGACTGGGGTGTGGGCTATAGGTACCTTGTGGTGCGGGGCATGCTTGAAGCTCCATTCAGTTCTAGGGACCTAGATCAGCCCACAGATTGTGTAGACCCAGGCCCAGTTTTCCCAAAAGCAAAAGCCTGGGAAGGAAGAACCCGAATTAGGATTCTACAACAGCTCAGGGCTCCAGGGAGGGCGTGGGCAGGAACCTGGGCAGGAGGCTTGGCTCTCCACTGCCTTCATCACCCAGACGTGTCACTGTTCCTCTTGGCTCTCAGATTCTCCACCTGTCAGACATGTACCTCTGGGGCATACCAGGACAGGGTTGGGGAGGTTCTGGAGCCCAGTGTGACCTGTCCCCCACCCTCCCCTCAGCTTCCCCTTCGGCCCCAGCTCTCCCCAGACTGCCAGGACCTGCTACGGCGGCTCCTAGAGCGGGACCCTGGTCGTCGCATCTCCTTCCAGGACTTCTTTGCCCACCCCTGGGTGGACCTGGACCATATGCCCAGTGAGGAGAGCCTGGCACAAGCAGTGAGTAGGCCACTAGGGATGGGCTGGGGTGAAGGCAGGTTGGGGGTCTCATCTACACTTTTTGGTGGTAAACAGGGGGCTTGCTCCCAGGTGGACAAGGGTGGGCTCAGGGGACCTGCTGTTCCCATTTTATGGTGAGCAGAGGGGTGGGCATGACTCCCTGATCTGCCCATCCTCCAGACCATCCTGGTGGTGCAGGCTGTGAAGAAGGACCAGGAGGGGGATGCTGCGGCTGCCTTATCGCTCTACTGCAAGGCTCTGGACTTCTTTGTGCCTGCCCTGCACTGTAAGTGCATAGAGCTCTGGGTGTAGCAGGGCTGGGTCGGCCATAGCTGTGTGGATGGATTCCAGAAGCATGTCCCCATTCATAATTTGATGGGAGACAAGGCAGAGGATAAATCTAGAACTTAGTGCTTTTGAGGATTCTAGAGGGTTTGGTGTGGGGCAGGGTCCTCATATAAACCACCACTGTTTGCAGACGAAGTGGATGCACAGCGGAAGGAGGCAATTAAGGCAAAGGTGGGTGAGCAAGTCCCCTGGAGGAAACTGATGAGGGGTCCTGGGGCTGCCTGAGACTGGCTCTCTTAGAACCGGGACTTCCTGTCCTGGGAAGGGGTCAGGCCGGCCCCTGACATTTCAGCTTGGGACAGTCACTGAGGACCTAGAGCAGTGATGGTGAACCTTTTGAGCTCGGCGTGTCAGCATTTTGAAAAACCCTAACTTAACTCTGGTGCCGTGTCACATATAGAAATTTTTTGATATTTGCAAGCATAGTAAAACAAAGATTTATATCTTTGATATTTATTTTATATATTTAAATGCCATTTAACAAAGAAAAATCAACCAAAAAAATGAG